TTGATAGTTGCGCGTGCGTCCAAAGGGATCCAAGTATCCATAACTACCTATCACGGTTCCGTTTGCAAACCTTTTCTCCTTTCGATACTGGATATTACCCGTTTCTGGATCGGACACGTCATATCCAAAAGAATAAGATCCTGGACCACCTGTATAATTATGGAACATTATAATAACCATATCCTTCAGTCCTTTCTTCTTTCTATTTCACTCTAATCCTCATCGTTTACTTCAAGAAGAGATAAATAGTTTAGAATAAATTATTTCATATTAAATAATTAATCTATTAATTACTAAAAAATATACCTTGTCCATAGTAATGTGCCGGCATTGGTTCTGCCAAACTGAGTCTTTTAATTCTAGTTGCTGATTGTACACTTTTATTGTACAACATCACGCTCGCTATCGCCAGAACCTGAAGACATTTTAATTAATAAATATTTACAAACTAGATGACGCACGTGACACCGTCTGCTCGGAATTATTAAAAAACAAAATTAGTAGCCTATGTGTTCTTCCAGTCTATGTTCTATATGTATGCCAAATTTCATTGAGATACCGTTCAGCGGTTTTAGAGATACCTTCAAACAAACATCCATTCATCCACCGAAACATTTTCATTTATAATATTAATAAGATTAGTAAGAAGTAAGATAAAGATATAAAACCACTATAAACCTTTATTAATTGGATTAAAGAAGTGGGCGTAACTACGCATCTTTACAAATGATTCCGTATATTATATCAATTAGAACAAACTTTTTTCATTATTAACGTCATCCTGACAAATGGATGGAATTTGTCTTGTGTCCAAGTAATCCCATGTCGGACGTGCTTTAACGTAAGAAACGACCTCATATATCAAAACTGATATAGAAACGTACATACCTTGTAGGATTAAGTCATGATTCTTTGATTAATGGAACGTTAATTTATCAAATTATAGCAGAAACAAAAAGAAATCAATACAATCATCTACTTATGCAAAATTTTACTCTACAGATTTAATTAATTTCTTCAACAGTTCGAAAATTTTTAAACACACGTAAAATGGTATAAGGTACTGCTTTAACGCTAATTGAATTTTCAAAATAAAACGTCATTCTGTTGTTTCCTTAACAAAACGTATATCTAATTGCGTTTAGTATTTCACTAAACAAACAGAACTAAATTTAGTATGCATTACAGTTTATTTATTTTATTAAAAAAATATATTTGATATAAGGCACGATAGGCATTCAAGCAACTAGGTAAACGTGCGACGAAATTTTACTAAATCCATAAACAATTAAATAAAAAAGGCGAAGCCTTACCTTTAATAGTAGTGCCATTGCCATTTTCGTTGGAAAGTTTTCACTATTGACTTTGTTTT